AAAGTATAGATATGAGAGCAATGGAGTATAATTTAGAGTTCCTAAACAAATCCTCACCTCTGCACAGTTGACTAACTGATTACAACCATGATATCAACAGATCTGATAGAGGAGACTAGTGGCTACAAGAATGGTACCAAGACTACATACATACATATATACATATATACATACATACATACATACATACATAATAAAATTTGGTCCATAAACAACAAACGCAACTGAAACAGAAATAAAGGCACATCTGAGTCTACCTTTTACTAGTCCTGCCAAAATATCTAAGACTGACTATACACGGTTTATTTGAATGCAGTTCTGGAGGCTGTAAAGTCCACAACATGATATAACATTTGATCAGCATCTGGTGAGGACATGTTTACTGTATCGTAACATGGAGGAGAGCATCTGAAGTTGAGACAGACAAGGTCACAAAGCCAGGGAAGCTTGTTATAGGGGTCTTGAGCTTGTGAACTCATCTAAACCCAAATACTTTCCAAAGCATCACTTTCAAATAGTATTTACATATGAATTTGGGAATTCCTTTTCACAAACATTTTGGAACTCACAATCAAGCTGTAGCAAGTGTAATTCTAAGCCTCATTATAAAATGCTAAACTGTAAAACTATTAGTACAAAATGCAGAGAAAAACTTTAATTCCTTAGATATGGTAATGGTTTCGTAAATATAACACAAACACATAACTCCCCAAAATAGCAACCGGGACTTCATTAAAGTTCCATATTTTATGCATCAGATGGTGTGAGGGACTAGAAAAGTCACCCCCAGAATAAGAACAATATTTGTGAATCATATATATGAAAGTAATTTAATATCAAAATACATAAGTCCTACAACTCAAGAAAATTTACCAACAGGCCAATTTTAAACTGATTAAAAGATCTGATCAGACAACTCTCCAAAGAAGCTATACAAGTGATCACCAAGCAAACGAAAAGTTGTTCTATGATATTGAATATTCGAACAGGAAAATCCAAAACTCAATAAAATAACATTTCAAACCTATTACAAATGGCTGTAATTTTTTTAAGTGAAAAATAAGAAAAGGGCTTCCAATGAAGTGAAGAATTGGAGCACTTAAACATTACTTGGAAAAAATACAAAATACAACTCTGTTTGTAAAACGCATGTCTCACTTTCTAATAAAAACTGAAGCTAGTGCTCAGAAGGGATCCAGCTAGCTCGTTATACAAAGGCACCGATGACGTCATAGACATCTCACCCTCAGAAGCTCATCTGATCCCGATTACAACTTCTAGGAAGAGAAAAAACAAAATTAGAAACAGGTGGTTGAATAAACAAGTTCACAGCAGATATATTTGCATTAGTCAAAGACTGACAACAACCCAAGTGTCATCAGCAATTAAACAGATATACATGCTGAAAACTATACCTACAACAGGTTATTTATTCAGTCATAGAGTGAATGAGGTTTCGATTTTGGCTCAGTTGGGAAGGACTCTCCAGAAGAATATAGCCAATAGGTTACATATGTAATGTAACACTGAGTATATTAGATTGCCCTACTCTGCAAATAATGGCTTTTTGAGTACTAGAGGCATAGATAAGCCATTAGCTCCTCAATAAATGAAACAAAATGCCTCAGGAGAAACAGGACCAGTGATGCAGTCTGAATTTGATCAAAAAATCTTTGTGCTCCTGTTTAATGGCTAGTGAGATGTCCTAGAAAGACTGGAACTGTAGTCTTGTGGTCAACTATCCATGGGTTATAGTAGCAGAACAGGCATATTTACTCAAAAGAAATGGACCTTACACACACACACACATACACACACACACACACACACACACACACACACATATACACACACACATAGAGGCTGCCTTTTTGTTTTTCTACTTTGTTGTTTTTTGGTCCAGTCTCTTGAGTGGCGATACACACAGTAGGAATGGTTTGGTCCACTCTGTTGTTCTGCTACATACAAATCTCTATGTAGATGCTCTTAAATATAAAACCAGAAGTGTGCCTTACTAGTTCCCTTAGCATCACTCTAAGCTCAGAGAAAAATCTATGTTACCCAGCTGGTCCCAGTCCATTGCCTGCCCTGTGGCTTTGGAGCCTGTATTAAGACAATGCTTCAGAGCACAGTGTGTGGTGGTGGGAGCCAATTAACTCAAGACTCAGGCTTAGGAAACAGAATTGGAAGCTCCCAGTATTCCTTTCAAAGACACACAGTTCCAGTGACCCAACTTCTTCCTACTAGGCCCTTGTATAAAGGTTCTCCTATCTTCCAGTAGTATTGCAGACTGAAGACAGAACCCATAGGCAACACTTACCCAAAGCACAACAAGACAATATACCAAAACACTTTTGGTGTTTGTATTTGCCCAAACAGTATTGGAAGGATAGATTAAAAACAAAACAAAATAAAACAAAAACAAACAATGTAAGTGTTTAAGGGTGACATTACTATGTAGCTGTTATACATTAGTGTTTCACACTGAAGGTTTATATAGGTTAAAGTGTAGAAACACTTCTGCCGTCCTTAGTAAACTGTTAACCCCAAGTTCCCTGAATTCACTCCATCTCATGGTCTTATCTTGGTATGGCTGGCTGCCCTATATTCAAATCGATGGGCAGTTATTTGCCTCGGAAGAGCAAAGATCTTGGAGGTGGCTAGTCCAAAATGGGACTGGACAGTAACCATGGGGGTGAGATCCGGCATACTGAACTTTTCCATATCCCTTTGACTATTGGACCATGTAAACATAGTACCTATATAAAACTACATAATTTATAGAAAAAATAACCAAATAAAGAGCATGCTAGCTAAAAAAAAAGTTTCTGGTTAAGAAACTTGACCCACATTTGTACATGTAAATTAGACTTGCACCGAGAACAGGAGAACATGAGGGACAGCAAGTCCTGAGTAGAAGCTTGAATATAGCAGACAGGAGAATAGAGAGACTATTCTAGGTCAGATATAATAGAACCACTATATATTATCAATTACTTTCAACTATTTTTGTAGTGGAGGGGAGTTGACTCAAGTTGTTCTGTTTCAACAGAATTACTTGAAATATTTGGGGGCTAGAAAACTAACCAAAAATGGGGGAATAGTTTGAAGAGAAAAACAATGGAGAAGATATGTAAATATCCTACGGAGAGCAGTGATGGCCAAAAGTACTGAAGAGAAGCCATCTGAAACTGTTGAAGAAAAACAGCTGCCTATTGAGATGACTATAAAGGGAGAAATGAAAGTTGACTCTGAGGTTTCTGGATTGATTGGCTAGTAGAGTTTGACCTTTACTACGGGGAATTCTAAGTGGAGCAATGCTCAGAGTTTTGATTGTGTAAAATGTGAATAGGCTGAGAGGCTGGAGATAAAATACGATGTAATTTGGACCTCAACTGAAAAGTTATTATGTAGGTGGCAATGACTTTTTCCATTTAATTTAGGAATGACTAAGAAGACATTTTCCAGGAAAAAGATCGTTAATGCATAAATGAGGGCTTAGCTGAAAGACTAAAATCGTAACCATGATGGCTACAGAATCTCTTGAATCATCCTTTCAAAACACAATTATACATCACTTAAATAATCTGATGTGTGGAAAACAATCTCTGGGTAATCCCATCAATGCTAGTATTTTTTATTTTTATACAAAAGTAAATCATAAATATGAGTTATCAAGGAATGAGTGATTTTTCCCCATTAATGACAAACTGCTCTTCAAAAAATGATAGTTTTGTTAGACAGAAAACTAAGACAAAGAGAAGATTCATAAAATCATTTTGACCAAAAGGGATTTTTTATAACAATGCTATATTGTTATACACAATATAGATACATATGTATATGTTATATACAATACCATATATATACAATGCTATACTGAAGCCCTCACTTTCACCTTTTTTCTTGCTGGCAATTGAACTCTTCATGAGTATATTCATATTTTTTATTTCATTGCTTTATTCTTGCATGATTATCACACACACAAACACGTCATTAATGGTCAGCATTTCTCAGAAGCTGGCAATAACTCTGCGTCTGCTTTCTCTCCTAGTTTCTAGAAAAATTCATCCCATCTATGGCTTCAATGTCCAACTACAAGTCAATGACTTCCCCACTAGTCTAACCTCTAGACCTTTCCTGCTGACTGTAAATATAAATAACTTGTTTCTTTACATTATCAAAGTATATGTTTCAAATACACCATATACTACTTAGATATAAAGAATTATATTCAATCACACCGTCAAATTTGCCATGTTGTAGTGTTCCAATCTGTATTAGTTTATTATACAGAAGTACAATAAAAACATCCATCAACATCAGCTAGGGTATGGAAAGGATTTGTTTGGCTTACACGTTACCACCCATTATTTAGGGATGACATGGTAGTAACTTCTGGTAGGATCTGAAGCAAAGACCATGAAGGGTTACTGCTTATTGACTTGTTTTCCCAATGGATTTCTCAGCTTGTTTCCTTACAACCCAATACCACCTGCCCCATGATGGCACCAGCCACAGTAGCCCCGGGCCTTCCCACAGAGATCTAATCAAGAAGTGCCCTGCGGATATGGACAAACATAGGCTAGTGGCTAGTATGATAGAGGCAAGTCCTCAGATGAGACTCCCTCTTCCTAAGTGATTCTAGTTTGTGTCAGCTAGATAGAAACTAGCACAACTGACCCCTTGTCAGATTCTTGATTCTGACATAAACATTCCTGTTAGGGTCTTTGCTTCCCTCTAAACCTTTGGAAGCCAGACCTCCATCATCTGCCCCTTCCCAACATTCCTAGGCTACAAGCTCTCCTAAAAGGTCATTAAGCCTTGAGACTGCAAAGACCTTGCCTAGCACTGAGTTCTCAAGTCCTCCTACAAACACCACTCCCACTTACCCATGCCAAAGCATGGTCATGTCTGTCACAGCAATGTCCTACTCTCTGGTACCAATTTCTGCACTGGTTAGGTTTCTGTTACTGGGGGAAAAAATAAGCAAAACCAGCTTAGGGAAGAAACAGTTTTATTTAGTAAATATACTGTCAGTCATAGAGAGATGCAAAGACAGGAACTGAAGGCAGAAACTTTTCGGCAAGGACTAAACAGAAAGCATGGGAAAATGTGACCTACTGGCTTGCTCTCCATAGCTCGCTGAGCTTGCCATGTTACAGAGCCTGAGACTACCTGACTAGGGGCGGCAGTGGGACAAACCTTCCCACATCCATCATCAAGCAAGTAAGTGCTCCCTCAGAAATGCCCAGAGGCCAGTGCATAGAGGCAATTCCTAGGTTGAGGTATCCTCTTCCCAAGTCACTCTAGTTTTTGTCAAGTTGACAGAAACTAAAGAGAATTCTGTCTTAAAGAAATAACTATCCACTCAAGTACACACAAGTCAGAATCCTAGTGCCTTTTAAATATTTAGCTTTTAGTAAATCCCCACAGCCATTTCATCACCAAAACCAGCCCTAGTCACTGCTTCCTAACTCTCTTAAATCTGTTTACTTCTTTCTGTCTGTACTGTCAATCACCACTCCAAACTACCATTATATATCATCATATGTTATATATTTCATTATATATATATACCCTAAATTACAAAGGTTTTGCAATTCCTCCAGTTGTCTTCCATAATGTGAAAAATCTATTGGATGGAATGATTTAGACCTCTATGAAGGAAGCAGAAGAAAATCTTACATTAGTTTCTTTCCTCTATAAGAGATGGTAATTACTCAAATACACATCAAGTACATGTATGCACATCACATAATATCACTAATCATTAATAGTCACCACCCCCTGGTTGGGCACATTACATATCATCATTAGTAGTCGGCACCTCCTATCTGGTTGGAACTGAGTTGAGAAGCGTTACCAAGAATTTGCACAGTCTTCACACCTGCTTTGAATATGCCCGCCCAAAGCCAGGACTTCCCTTCTGCATTTTCTCAGTCAGTCGCTTCCAGATGATCCCAGGATCATCTGAAAGCCTGGGGAAGCCCTGATGTGCTTCTCCAACACGGGTGAGAAAGTCTGTGGTATGAAGGTGTTCATCTAGTTTCTCTTGGAGTAGTATTGACTGCAGTAAAGTCTTCCTTCGTCTCAGGAAGTCAGATTGAGCCAGCTCTGCTCTTTTGCTATTACAGCTGGGACACTGGGAAGAAATGTGTTGGGTAATCGCCTCTATGTACGCTAGAGTCGCTCTCGTGTTTTCCAAATAGATTCTGTTCAACAGTTCATTGGGGATCGTACAATTGAAATCATCTACCTCTGAAGTCTCTGCCATCCATCTGAGCTGCAGCCTTTTGGATCTGCTGCTTTTTTTAGCTCTTGAATCCTCTCTTTGGTGGATCAAATTTACTTTTTTAGTACAAAAAGACCGCAGGGCAGTCAATTCTTCTGCGGATTCCTTAGGGATTTCTGGGGGGAGTCTACGATCCGACTGATACCTTTCAGAATGAATTTCTTTCCTCTTGAGGTGGTTGATCCACTTTTCTCTCAGCTTATTTTCATCCTTCTGTAAGACTGAAAGTTCTGACTGCTCGTCTTGTTCTTCCGAACTTGTACTCGGCGTTTTGGTCTCTTGTGGGCTCTCAGAGGTGTGTGAACAGGATTGCAGTTCTCCAGAGAAGCTGTTGGAACCAGAACTCAGTACCTCATCAGTACAGGACCTGAGGAACTCTTCTGAAACTTGAGTAGCACAGACGTCCTTCTGGGCCGGGCCTCCGTGCTCTTCTTTTGAGTCCTCCGGCTTCTGAGCAGGTGGCCACCCCATAGTCTCGGACTCAGTTCCTCATCTCCTTTGCTCTGGTCAAAAATGGGTCTGGAACCAGTAAAGAGTTGCCGATAGGGCACAATCTTTGGTGGCTTTGGGTGCCGCGAGCATCTTCTTCCGGGTATGCCTCTCCTGGTTGCCGTGACAACGCGCGCCGGACATGCGCAGTGAGTGGTCTCCGGTGGCCCCCCCCCTTTCCTGTCTCCTGCCTGAACCGGTTCAACTGGTTTTATTTAATTCAGCCCTCAAGCTGCTGCGAGTGCGATTTAAAACGCTGTGTGGATTTCAAGGGAAAAGGGCGCAAACCCTCCAGTTCAGACCAGGTGTTGCACATAAGTTCCATGGAGCCAGACAGATGGCTTGTGACAAAAGAGATAATGCGTCTTGCCGCAAAGTTTTCACAAAAAGTGCTGTGTAAAGTCACCAACGAAACATTATCGGTTTTAAAGCCAAAGGAGAAGCTGTTTGTTGGTTTGCCTTAGGATAAAAATAGAAATACTGACACTATTCTCTAGGGTCTCTCCACAGTAGCTCAAGGCTTCTGAAAACCCTCGCATTTTACCCCAAACCACAGTCTTAGGTGTTGTCCCCTCCAACTGCTAGGTCAGTACCGTCCTCTCTAGATGCCTTGCTATATGGCTATTACCCACCCCTTCAAGATGCTTTACACGGAAGGTTCGGATGCATTTTCTGAGTTCTATGTATCTGAGACTCTGAGAACGAAGCTTATAGATGCAACCTGCTCAAGAATTCTGTTAGTAGTACGCTTAATGCCTGGAGTCGGATACCAGCTTACAAAGGGGCAGTGGGCTTTGGGGCATGAGTAATTCCAGTTTAAGAAGGTCTAAGTATCCTCCTATCTAATCTTCAAACTCAAGCCCTTACCTAATGATACATCCCTCTAATACAGGGCTTTTTAAAGACCTTGACTGAAACCTAAATGGCCTGGCATATAAAGGCACATGTTGACAACCCTGATGATGTCCCTAGGACACACACACACACACACACACACACTCACACACTGGACTCTCAATTGCCTCTTGGCTTCCTTCCCTCCATCCCTCCCAAAGCTGCCTACCCATCCTTGAGTGTCCTCACTTTGCCAAGGTCAACCGTCTGAAATATTACAAAATCATCTGAGAAATTTGGTCGTCCTTCGTTTAAAGATAAGGACTTTCCAA